TAAAGTCTATGTCGGATATTGTTTAATAATAAAGTTTATCAATCATAGCTTTTATATTGGAGGATGGCTTCAGCATTTATAGTCTTATTATGAATATTAAAATATATTGTATCATTTAAATTTTATTGTTTAATTTTTATCCTCTATAATTGTATGCACAAAAAGCTAAAGCTAATTAAAATAAAAAAGGAAGAAGAAGTTTATAATTAATTCAATCATTAGTGCAAAGCCAATCAACAATTAGCACAAATTAGTAATTAATAGTTTAACCTATAGTTTATCACAATAATCGTATGAACATTTTCAACAACAATTGTTTTGAGCAATAAAAACAGATCATTAAATGAAAAGTGTAATATTCCTACTAAATGTCCTATCTATTTACTTTAGAAATGAATCAATGCCCATAAATGATTCCCAGTATTACACGGAAGATAATCACTAAATAATTTGGAATGAAAATAATAAATAGGTACCAGTGGCGGATTCAGGATTTAATTTTGGAGGAGCTCATAGTCTAAAATGCAGTGAAAATTATTGTATTCCATAAAACGTACAATAAGCCGTTGTGTGTAAGCAGGCCTTACAAAGGCCAATTGGGGGGGCCATTTCCAATTTTATTATTTCATTAACTATCGTTTTCTTAAAAAAATTAATTCAATATATTGTTTTTTAAACCTTCGATACTTCATGTTTAAATGTACCTATAAATTGTAATATAACAATGAACAGCATTGAAAAATATTGGATTATAAATTACATGAACTATGCGGGACCAACACATTCTTTGAACTATATGTATAGGTACATTATACTGCAACGGTTTCCAAACTGTACAACGTTACGGTCTATGGCTCATAAATTCATAATAAATAATTTAAAATGTAGGTATTGAATTTTTTTTCAAAAATTCAATATTAATGAGTACYCTTTTGTTTTGTATCTAATGATATTTATTTACAATTTAAATAAATTAAATACTTACCTAAGTTTTAATTTCAATCGAAATATTTATACGTTCATAAATATATAATTGATATTTGGGTATACTTAGAATATCAGAAAAAAAAGAATTATAGAATTTACTATACTGTAAGCATTAATATCACAGGTTGGTAATATATCGATATAGCATTGTTTCCGATAACCATTATTCAGGAAAATGCTGAGTGAAATAATTTTACTTGTTGTAAAAAGACCTCTTTGCTGGTAAAAATTACTACATGGGGGTGGTACTRTTTTCACATTGCTTAGCCCCAAATTTGTAAAAAGACCTAGAATATTTTGTATAAACATGGTATATTCGACCTTAAAGGTTTAAGAAAATGTCTATGGAATTCAAACAAAAAAATATTATTTATTTTTAACTATTACATATTTACATTAACATTATAGGTAATATAAATTTAAAGTTTTTAAAAATGTTTAAGATAATTAAAATGAGAAAATGAAAATGTGTAAAATGTGTAAAATGCTTACAACTAATAAATACATGTATTTAATATATTTATTTCTTGTCAGGTGGCACTGCTGGGAGCCTTCCTTTTCTGTAATTAATGTTGTTTTTTTTCTTTTTCTTTTTAAGTGTCACCACACTTACTTATTATACAGTGTATGTATAGATTGTAAATACACTTTTATCTTCAATAAAAAAAAAATAAAAAAATAAAAATATATATATATATATTTATAAAATAATAATGAAAAAAAAATGTTCTTTAATATTGGCGTACTGCGAATATTAATCTACATAAAAAGTATACCAATATAATAGGTAACACTTTAATATACTGTATATTTTAAACTAGTGCATTATATTTTAAGATGCGAATTTAAAGTTTTTCGAAATTTTCATGAGTATTACAACAAAAAAATTGTTAAACACAATAACACGTGCATGTGTGCTATAGGTAACTGTAGAATGTAGATAGTTATTGTTAGAATCCAGAAAAAAACAAAAAAATCAGAAGTGCTAGAAGACCGATTAAGAATGAAACGCACTTCGACCATATGCTTATTTCAACTTTACCATCCAAGAATCTATCACACAAYTGTTTCTCTAGCAATTTTGCACCACATAACACTATTGGTACACCAGTACCAGGTTGCGCTGAAGCGCCCACAAAGTACAAGTTTYCAAATATTTTACATTTCAAACTTGGTCTGAACCATAGAACTTGAAACAATGAATGAGATAATCCTAGTATAGACCCTTTCCATAAATTGAATTCGTTTTGCCATGTTCTCGGATCGTTCACTATCTCATGATCGATCAAACTTCTGAAGTTGGATATCTTCAATCKTTTCTGWATTGTGTCGATTACWTGTTCCCTAGCTCTCTTGACAAGTTGATCGAAATCSAYATTAGGTACATTCGATATATGTCCYACYGGTACTAAWACCACAATTGTGTCTTTTCCTTCTGGTGCTGCTGTTGGGTCGATGCGACTAGGTACGTTTACATAAAACGATGGTTCGTCGGGCAATGTATGATCCTTGAATATTTGATCAAAACTTTGTTTATATTTTTCAGCCAAAAAAATATTGTGTACTTTTAATTGTGATACAATTTTGTTCATAGACCAATAAAATGATATCGAAGATGAAGTCAGTTCTTTTTTGCCGAGTTTTTCAGCGTAAGATGTTTTTGGCAAAAGTTTGTTGTACGCATATATGAGATCTGCATTACAAATCACTATATCACTATTTACCACATCACCATTTACCAATTTAATTCCTTTCGCC